CATTTTCATTCATTTCTCCTAGAGCTTCTCTACCCATGATGAGTTCCCTTCCTGAGTTGTCTGGTCCCAGTTTGGCGTTCATGTCTCCCATTAGTATTTTCATGTCGCCAGCTGGAGTATTGTCCATTGTTGCCTGTAGTTGCCTGTAGAATTCTTCTTTCTTTTCGAGGTCTGCGTTGTTTGTGGGTGCATAACATTGTATGATTGACACTTTCCTTCCTTTGGAGTTGAATCTGGCGGTCATTATCCTGGACGAAATCGCCTCCCATTGTATCAGGGCTTTCGTTGCCGTTGGTGACATCATGATAGCCACGCCCTCGGTGTGCGTGTGGTTATCTTCTGGGTGACCGGAGTAGATCACTGACTCACCCGTTGACAATTTGGTGAGTCCACTCCCGTTCCATCTGCTTTCACATATTCCTAGCACTTGTATTCCGTATCTTTTCATCTCGTTGGCGATCTGGGCAGCTTTCCCTGTCTCGTACATAGTTCGGACGTTCCATGTTCCCACACAGACTTTTTCTTTTGGTGCAAAGAGGTTCATTCTGCTGAAGGTTCTGTAGCAACTTTGTTTACAGGGTGGGGTTGCTAGCCTCACGCCTGAGAAAGGAATGATTACATTAAGTTAAAGTTTAGAGAGAAGCAACTTTTTGGGTTGCTCCCCTCAAAATCAGAAAATAACGGACAAACAATGAGAACAACATCAACAAAGGAAACAGTTCACAGAAAAAAAGGCAAAAAGCGACGACAACTATACAATAAGACAACATGCAATATAGTTCAGCACAGTTAACTAAAATGATATCTTAACCATAAACTCACTGACTTGGAGCAACTTGAACATATAAATCCAACAATATATACAATTATAGATGTGTTTATGTTTAAAAATTCCACAAATCCAATTAGTTAGTTATATGTATTATCTGTCAATAAGATTGTATTTTTTGGATTCAGTGTTCGAAAGGTTAATAATTGTGATAGTTTCCGCAAACTCTTGACATAAAATTTTACAGAAAAAAGAGTTTTTATTAATAAGCAAAATGTAGCGTAGTAGTCGAAAAGTATAATATTAATAATATAATATATAATATAATAATAATATAATAATAATATTAATAATAATCACTGGAATAGACAACGTAGTAGTGGAAAAAGGAGAAAAATTGCAAGTTTTGCCTTCCACATCCAATCATCGTTGAGTAGAATAATTGACCATTCTTGTTTTACACCGAAGTGATTCTGGTTGATATTTCTTTGTTGGTCGTATATTTCGAAAGAGATTTCATGAAGTACCAAAAAGGACAGTTTGATTCGGGACATCACTTAATTCTTTCGAATGTTCATCAATGCAAAATAACTAACTAACTAACTTTTCAGTAATTGTAAATTCCGAATTGTTGTTGTTTTCAACATACTAATTGATTAATTAATTAACAAAAAAAATAATTAGTCAAATAATCATAGTATCATTTTAATTTTGCTGAAAACAAAAAGAAATTCGATTCTATGTGTGGTTATTTTAGTTTTATCATGTAACTAGCGTTTTGAATTGAAACTGTAAAAATGTATGCCAATGTGTTGTATGATAACAGCCTAGAATCCTCAAAATTGCAAACAACCGACATAGTCGATTAAAATACACGAGGTATTTATTGACAGTTGTTGTTGTGTTCGTTTTCTGAATGCAATGAGAATGAATATTCACAAGAGTGGAGATACTTGAAGACATAAAAGCTGGTATATAAGATGTATATAAAGAAGTTATTTCGGCTTTCAGAGGCTGTAAATAAAGTCTTACTATTGTTTCTTGACAAATGTAGTAGTCTGATATAGTGAATCGAATAGCTGTCATCTCGGGATCACACTTTCTCTTCCAATCTCTCTTCGTCGTCTCATTTCCTGATGATTTCTAAGAATATTTGTCGTCTGACTTATTACACAAACAAGATGAGACTATCTGGAAAACCTCAGCCTCTTCTCTTACAATTTATCAATTCACGTATTCTACCCATTCTCCTTTATTCTTCACCATCATTATTCTTCCCTAGACCTCTCAAAAAAGACTATGCCATAATACGTTACGTATGTGGAACATTGAAGACTTCAGATGAGGTTGGTGATGTATCCTTTACTCAGCTAACTATCATCATTAAAATAATAATAATAATCTGCTTTATTCCAAAAACAGTACTTATAATACAGAATGGAATTCTCAGCATTCGTCACAATATTCCATCTGATTTACTTAAAAGATAAATAAGATTAAAAATTAAAACAAAAGTAGCCAGAGGAATTTGTCCACGTTTACGATATAAAGTCGAAAATATTCGAAGCACGAATTGAGATTATTAAATATAATAATAACAATCATAACAGTGAGTTTGCTTCAAACAGAATTTGTTGTCGATTGAGTTTGGAAATTTTATCATGTTATAGATTATTGCACCTAATGTTTTGTCTCTATAGCATGGTGATGGGAAAGACAAAACTAAGTTATAACACAGCTTAAATGGTGATAACACATATGAGAAGATAAATAAATGAAAAGAAAATATTGAGAGGAATATAAATATAAGAAGAACAGTATCAATAAAGCTTGGTGGAATGAGGATGGTGAAAATGGTTTATTTACTGGTGCAAAGAAGGTTATTTAGTTGATGCCTGACACTATTTTCACCACGTAAAGTACGTTCCAAATATGGTATTGTGGAATTTCTAGACATAGACGTACGTGCATAAAGTCTTCTGAAAAGACTTCTTGTTTTACCTGAGGAGACACGAGGTTGGAGCTGTGGGTAGAGTGTGGGTGCTCAGAGTCTGACAAAATTCCTTTAGCGAATTTGTTGCATGACATCAAGTGCCTTTCAGTGACAATGTCAACGACATGGCCCAATGGGATACCACTCGTCCTACTGACAGTCTTCAGAGTTCTGCGAAGTGTGGCATAGTCTTTTTTAAGCAATCCAGTAAGGTATAAGGATGAATAGTAAAAAAGAATAGGTAAGATGCAAGAGTTGACAAACTGTAAGAGGAGTGGTTGGGTTATGCGTGAGTGTCTTAACTTCTTAATGTAAAATGTCAGACGAAATATTCTTTTAGAAATCGGTAAGACATGGGAAGAGCAGGATAGGTGAGAAGAAAGAATTAATTTAAGATACTTAACTTCAGACTTGATTTCTACATCAGTATTATCAATTCTGCAAAGGTCGATAGGCACTTCTATTCAATTCTGCAAGTGATTCGCTAAAATTATCTTGTCTGATACAGAACGTCCCCTTTATTCGAAACTTTTGTCTGGTATCTTTCCAGGTGAAAGCAGAAGGAACTTCATAAGAATCTACGCTCCTATAGCTACTAAATATGCAAATTCTACCACACCACCATATTTAGCACAGGTTTTGTGTGAAGAGAGTCAGGGAGAGAGAGAGAGAGAGTGACATGTCGGAAAACAACTTGTAAACTTTTCGAATCAGTAATCTGAACTGCAAAGTATAAGCAAAGATTATTTTTCAATGTATTTTCTATGATACTATCTACTTGTACTTCATTGTGTTTCCACCAACATTCTGTTTATAGTGGTGGTTTCATTACTCGTATTATTATTACTATTACTATTACTGTTTTAAATTTTCTGTATGTACATATTTACAAAAAGAGGTCAATTGTTGTGATATGTATAAAAACGCTGAAAATTCCAATCCGTATAGTTAATATTGTTGTTGTTGTTGTTTGGACTAAAGTGATTATTATTATTATTATTAGTCCCCTATAGTCGTATCCGTAGAATAATAGAATTACACACTGATTACTAAGAATGATTTTCAGATTGAATCATAAATAAATAGAAGGTGAGATCTGTTGACAATCGGCTTCTTATCTCTTTTACATATACATCACTATACATCACTTTTACATCACTGATTTTATCTAACATGGAGATGGAGCTTGAGATTGTTTAGATGCCTGAAAGTTGGTCAATGCACTCACTACCTGACCAAGGAAAAACACTTTGTCGTGAACAGTTATATACATGTATATGTATATATGCATATGACATTGACAGACCTGTTTTTTGTTTATTTAGGAAATGCTACCAATAACATTCACGCTTGAAATACCTTATTTAAGCGATGATCGGTTAAGAGCTAATCAGAATTCTTCATTTATTCACATAATTCAACTAATATTCAATGTACAAATTATTTTCCGTAATAATTTTCCACTTAACAACTACAAGACTCTAATTACTGTTAAAGGATTAGCAATCAATTCAATCAATACTAAAAATGCTCTAAATGTTATAATGGATAGATATTTATCCGAGGATAAGGTAAGTAGTTATTCATTATTCTGTTTGTTCTTCCAGTCTGTCATCATGTGAACAAAAACGGAACATTGATAACGGTTATTTTGCACAATATGGCAATTTGAAAGACAGAGAGTGAGAGAGAGTATGAGTGATTTCACTGCCTTGGAAACTGCATTTCGATTAGATTGATTAGCCATCCATATTAGTTATTCAAGCCGACTGAACAGGTTTCCATTTCGATCAACTGTATAACCTTCTTGAGTTGCTTTGTGGGCCTACATGCTAACACTGTTTATAAGGTTGTTCTGTATCCTATCTTCCCTTCTATTTTCAGAGCATATAAAGTGATGGCAAATTAAACCAAAAGGTGTGATGCTTATATTCCGGATGTATTGATTTTAAAATGTTTCCCTTACCACTGTTCAAACATTTAAAATGGTATTATCGTCATTGATTTTAACCCCTGTTATTTCAGGTAGTTTTCAGATGATTAGATCTGGCGAAATGAAATGATATCATTTTATACTGCAAATCTGGCCTTTCAATATTAAAACTTATCTAGGGGAACGAGATGTATGCAGTTTGAGATAGTTCATACAACGTGTTCTCTTGGTCATCTTCGTCAAGGGAAACAGAATGATTTGCAGTATAAAATGTGAATGTCTTATTTCGAGGCTTCTCTTCAGCTACAGGCAGCTTAAAGTAGTCATAGTATTAGTGAGGAAGGAATCTACACTTCCCACCCTCCCCACCAAACAGAACAAGTGGCAGTTTTACGAAATGACAAACAAAGTATTATGTGGTGATGATGGAAGACTATTCACCGAGCAAAATACGGGAAGGAGTTACGGGATAATGTGGAAGAAAGCGCTTATAAGTGTTCTGAAACAAATGAGTGGGTTACGTAAGATCAGTGGGTTAAAAAGACAGTAGTAGAAAAGAGAACACAAACACATAACGTGTGTTTTCCTAATGCAAATCGTGTATTAGGTTGAGTATTTATTACTAGAACAAGGTGAGATTAGTCATGGTTACTTTGTGTGTACTCAGACTGCGTTTAAATCGTTTGATAGAAATAGGGTTCACTTTTACACTCAGTCTATTTGAAGACTGTAGCCGTTTTCAGAATGAGTTGAAAATCATTTTTATAATCTCGAGACGTCTGTGTTTTCAAATGCGAAGTCAGTACACTGTTGATGAACTGGGCCTTGAAAGAGTGATACAGCTGTTCGATGTTTTGGTCGCTTCGATCTGCCTAGAAAGCAGTACTGATTGATGTGAGTGACATCGAACTACTCATACCAATCATTTAGTAGCGTATAACACCCTGAGAGTCTTATTGATTTGTTGAATGATGAAAGTCCTTCATGAGACAATCACCTGTATACCAATTACTGTGAGCTTTCTTGGACGTGACTACCACATCAGATTTTTCAAGATCTAAATAACTGAATTGGAATTGAATGATGTCACTTTGTATTATGTTCATTATCCTCATTTAGGATGGTTTAGAGGTTCACATGGACATGGCTATGGATTCTTATAATTCATCTGTATTATTCAAGGAAATTTCACCAGAAGGTTTAATGCAATTGGTTAAGAAGACTACTGATGCCAAAATATGTTATATTACTTCTTCTTCTTCTTTTCCTTCGTCTTCCTTACCCCACAATTCCAATTCAATACTACGGCCTCCATCCCCATCAATATCATTAAATCAACAAAAATATTATCAAGCATTATAAATTCTTCAAATATAAATCAGAATTCAAATATTTATAAATCCAACATAAATGACAAATACTCACCATCAACAAGTCAAGTTAATGATAAAATAAGCTTGTATGCGATTCATATATACGGCAAAGTCAATAGTGTTTTTTCAGCTAGACAACTGATAATGGTAAGTACAATTACGGGTCAATCATTACAGTTCAAACATGTCTGGATTATTAGATATCACGTTGATCGTTCTCATGTAATCAATGTTGAATAATTCACTTAATCATGGAGTAGTTGCTCACTGACTCATCTTGTTCTACTAAATGGTTCATATAAGTATTATTATTATTGCTCCTTTGGGTTCCAAGTGGAATATAGGGCTTCAACTTCACGTCTCCACTTGCCACTTCTGTCTTCCTTCTGCTGTACTTTTCACCTGAATCCATGTTACTCCATACTGTTTCAACTCCTCTTCACACGATTTCCTTCATGTCAACCTTGCTCTGACGTCCCACTCACCGCTTGCTTCCCTTTCGGCCTGGTTCCACTCGAGCAATGGCCTGACGCGCGCGCGATGTCACCAACCGGCCTCCTCAGCGAGCGAGTGTTCAATCCATCTCCACTTCCTCTTGCATATTTGTTGGTTGGCGATTGTTTCATTCTTGTTTTGTTTGTTCCCATAGTTTCTTGTTGGTGATTCTGTCCGGCCAGACTCGGCCATCTGATCTTCAGTATAGATCCAGCGAAGACAGTTGTTGGTTGATAAAGGTCTTCAACAAGCTGTTAGAAATATTCTTCGTGACCCGCCCGCCAAGTTTCTGATCCGTAAAGAAGAACTGACAGACTTGACGTTTGTATTGAAAATCCGAACGAATTTTGTTGTTGATTCTGGCTGAGTGACGAAGATTTCCAGATTGACTGTTTCAGGTTGATGAATGAATGTGTTTCTCGCCTGCCTGCCTTCCCGATTCTCACTCGATTTGATATCCTCGTCTGTTCCGACGGCCTGTAGTTGAGACAATGCTCCCTCCTAGATAAGTGAGTGAATGAAGTAACCTCTTTCAAATCCCTCCAGTGGATGGTGATTGTCGCTGGATGTTTCTGCTGTTGTTGTTGTTGTTGTTGTTGGTTATTTTCACAACCTCCGTCTTGTCTATGTTCACGTGGAGTCCGGTCTTCGCTGGCTGCTTCTTCGACCAGTTTGTCGGTTTTCGCTTGTAAGTCGTCGATTTTGTGTGACATCAAACATAAATCATCGCCGCGCGAAATCCAGGTCTTCCAGGTTCTTCGCTTCGGTCCAGGATATCCCTGTCCCGTTTCTTGTTTCCCACTCACTGTTTGACGCATAATCCAATCAGTCCACCACAATTAGGAATATCATCGTCGGTGATAATAAGCACCTTTGTCTGACTCCTGTGTTTACTCCAAACGCCTGGCTGAGTTTTCCGTTGTGGATCACTTGACATGTTCCGTTGTCGTACAGCTGTTGAATGAGGTTGATGAATATTTGGGGTACGCCATAGTACTCGAGTAGTTTCTAAATTTATTCGCTGACAACGTTGCACTGTCGAAGGCCTCCTCGAAGTCTATAAACTTGAGGTGGAGGTTTGATTGCCATTCCATGCTTTTTTCTGTGATAATGATGACGTGTAGAATCGCAATTTAATCAGTACATGATTTGCCTTTCCTGATTCCAGCTTGTTATGGTCGGAGTTGTGTATCCAGTGCGTCCTTCATTCTCTCCAGGATGATGCGACTCAGGATTTTACTTGGCGTTGACAGGAACATGATTCCTCGCCAGTTCTTGCAGAGTGAGTCCTAAGTCACCCTTCTTTGGTAGGTTCTCGAGGCAACCTTCCTTCCAGTCAGTAGGCACCTTTCCCTCCTTCCAGACCTTTCGCAATAATGGAGTCAGCATGCCTGCTATCGTCTCTGGGCCCGCTTTCAGTGCTTCAAGGTGTATTCCATCTGATCCAGCTGCTTTTCCAGCTTTCAGAAGCTTGATTGCATTCAGGATTTCAGCTTTCGTTGGAGGATTGGTGTCAACTTGCAGTTGTGTACGCGCTGTTGTTGGTATTTCTGGACGGGTTGCAGGTGATTGTCGGTTCGAGAGTCCTTTGAAGTGATCCGCCCATTGTTTAATTTGTCTTTTTTCTTTGGTAATGGGTTCCCTTGGTTGTCTTTTATAGGTTTCACTTGTGTTGATCTCTTCCCAGATAGAGACTTGGTTATCTGATATAGTGTCCTCAGGTCCCTTTTGCCTGCTGCCTTCTCAGTTTCAGTGGCCAGGTTGTCTTAGAATTGTCTTTGTCCTACCTAGCACTCTTCTTCACTTCTTTGTCCAGTGCTGTGTACGTTGAGCTCAGCGTCTCCTTATCCTGTCCGTTCTTGCATTGAATCATTTTCTCTTTCACCATTCTCCTCTCCTCTATTAGCTTCCAAGTGTCCGTTGAGAGCGATTCCTTGTCTTGTCTCTTCTTTCTTCCTAAAACCGTTGAACACGTTTCGTTGAGAATCACCTTCAGAGACTTCCAATGTTCTTCCATGCATGATTCTTCAGTGATGTCGCGTAGTGTTTCCTGCTTTGCTCTGACAGTTGCAGTGAAAGTGTCCTTTGTGTTTGTGTCCTTCAATAACCCCTGCTATCCTTGAGGCTTTTAGCTTCACCTTGAAAGTCCCTTGTACTAGATAGTGGTCTGAACCCACATCTGCTCCTCTCCTCGACCTTGTGTCCAGTAGACTCCGTCTCCATTTTCTTGAAACTGAGATGAAGTCTATTTGGTTCTTGATGTTTCCATCTGGTGAAATCCATGTCATCTTGTGTATATCCTTGTGTTTGAACACACTGCCGCCAATTACCAAATCATTATATGTATAACAAATGAAATTAAAAGGCATCATTATATTACAGGCTTTCGTACCAAAACACATATATAGCGCAGAAACAATACAGAGTCAAAAATGATGCTGAAACGTATGTTATATATAACAGATCACACGACGAAGACGGATTAAAAACCAAGTAAAAAGTTAAGGTAATTAGGTGCAAACGTTAAATAAACTGTTCAAGGAAATGTGGAATGATTTGAGGCATTGGACGTCAACAGTATCTCTCAATCCAGAGATGATTAAATTCGAATAAACAAAACGTTGTAAATTTTTGATGTTGGAGGCTATTGGAAACAAGCTGTGGAACTAGGATATACGCTTATTGCTATCTACCCACATCTTGTTAAGTATCAACAGCCACGTCAACGAGATCGATTCACGGTACGTACATTCTCTATTCTTATGCTTACTTTTGCCTTCATCATCATTATCGGTGGACTGACTGGCTTCCTTGGTGTAGTTTCTAGCTCCACATCCAACCTGACCTCTCATTTGTTTCATGTGAATAACTGAGTAAAATGTCGGCTTCACTTAAATTGTTTTTGTTTCTATTTTCCGAATTCCCTGAATTAACTACCATCCAACCATCATTATCTTGACGGCGATTAGATGTCACGGATGAAAATGTAGCTATGGGGGAGTATATCCTGTCTTACACTGTGTATTCACTTGTTTCTTTCTTTATTTATTCAGTTGAATTGAGTAGGTGACTGTGTAATTTCTTTTCAAGTCATTTGAGCAGGAATCTGAGTGTACGACAGATGACTTGTGTATTTGCCCATCATGGTCTTTACAATCACACCAGTTTTTCCACCTATTTTGATAATTCGAGATGAAATCGTCAGTTGGTAGAGAGCGTTCCACGTTGGCCAATCCTTCTATCTATCTGTCTATCTGAGAGTCTCTCTATTATTTATTTATTTCTTAGTCAAATGCCAATAAATAATTCGATAGAGTGAATGTCGTGGATCCGAATCCTGGCGGTTGGTGAGTACCACCACAGAGTGTCAAAGTAGGACGAGACAGCTGTCCAGTACTGCCATCTTCTCCAATGCTTCTGTAACCGACGTCAGTTGATGATGAAATCTTGTAACATGAGATGTGTTGGTTAAAGTATTCGAATTCATGGTGAAAAGTGAATGTGAATTCGATCTCATTGATAATACTTCGTCTTTGAATAACTTAGAAACACGCCTTATGCTACGAGAGAACAAATGACCATGTGAATAGAAGTAGGCTCAACTAAGTTGTTCCACTATGTGTCTTCGTAGTTAAATAAGTAAATAAATAAATAAATAGATGAGAATGATTTCTAACGAAATCATGTTTACATTGTTCAGTATGTTGACTGGTCGCTAGACGGTAACCGATCTTGTTTCTCGACGATTCCATAGTTTGGCTACTTTACTTGTTGACATAAATTTCATGTTGTGTGTCTCCAACAACCCCCTGAACTGTTATTATTTAGATTCCAAAATAATACAGACTGCTCTCTGGAATGTAATGTGTCATGTCCTTGATGACATCATCGAAATTTCATTCATTGTCAATTAGTGTTTATTATATGTTCACAAGTGTATTTGATTTACACTGGACGTCGTTTGTATAGAAGGGAGAAGAAGAAGAAGAAGAAATTGATGGCATTTCTACTGTACTTTCTTGTACTTTCTATGTTACTTAATATTCAGAAATGTCGGCTGTTTTCTTGCAAAGGAATAAACATTTTCGTATTATTGTTTAGAATTTAATGCCAGTCGGATTAATGTTCGATGTGAATATCACAGGAGGTGAAGAATGGTTGAATAGTTTAAATCTGACCAATTTATGTCGTTTCTATGATGTCAGTTTAACTACTCGTCCTACTAAATCAAGAGAATTTTGGAAGGTATGTGTTATTAATAAGTTTTATATTCTATTTTCCGAGTATATTTATATATGTATATACAGTCAAACATTTGAGACAAAATACACTCAGTAAATTTCATTAGAGTTTTCAAAATGGTCTTAACTTTGACATCGGAAAGCGCTGAACAACAGTGACACTTCAGGATCGAGTGTAGAATTTCAATTGAAATCATGATCATTGGATAATGTTTTCAGCATTTGAAAGGCATTCCGCTGGCTATGAATCTCACAGGCAACACCAGCCAGCTCACACGAGATGCACATATATTTAGTTGGTGACTTCCGAATAGAAGGAAGCACACTTCCTCGATTCAACTGATAGCCACTGTCAACCAACTGTCAACATCATTTTAAGCTTAAGGTAGCGTTCAAGTGTCTGTACTTGAAGCTGACATGTCGACAGAAGCTAATCATCTCGGTCGAATAAAATTAGTCGACAGGAATTTCAAAGTGACAACTTGAACAAATTACCATTCATCTATCGATGTGAAATGAAATCTGAGAGCTTATACCAGTTTGCTTTACTTTATAGAATGATGCTCCTTCAGCTTTTGTTTTGTTGAACTGTATATTTAAGGTTAATGAAAATCTTTTCGAATACGTGTGTTGGAAGGAGTTTTGTCAAAGTTACCTGTGATTGAAACTCTACGAAGAAAAACATACTCAATGAATATAAATACCCAGAAGGATTTATTTATTTATTCACTAATCTGTAATTCGATGGAAGTGAATGAATTCACTCCACTAGAAAGAATAATTATTAGGCGTGAGTGAAGATGTGACATTAGTCAGAGAACCACTGAACCACTGAAATACAAGAAGTACTAGATAGCTATTTTCCATCACTGTAGCTCGAGACTCCTCTTCAGAAGTACTCACAAGTGACCACATCACAGAAATAACTCACTACCTTCGTGAGTAGTCATCCAGCTCTGTTCCACTGGTTAAATCTTAACGTATTCGCCTTGTGTGTTGGCTCATGACGTGATCTCATTTGAAATCAGTCGAAGCTTCACCAAGCTAAGATTAAAACATTATTTGGTAGTGTTTTTCTTTGAAAATAAATACAAACTAATTTTCAACTAATTTTAATTCATGTTCGAGTTCATCATCATGTGACTAATTTTAATAGATAGTTAAAACTATTGAGACATTCATTTATAAACTGGATACTGTTGAAGGAAACTTCCGTTGGAATCAATGAGTGGGTAAAATATTTCTACTCGAGTCTATTCATTTGTCAAGTGAACCCTGAATACTTGAGAAGCGCTTCTGAAATGCAGTAAGAATTTCATACAAAAATGATTCACCGAAATCACATATAAACAAATATTCCTTCTTCAAATGAAATCCTCCTTCCAATGTCTGACTAGTGGGAAAAGAATATTCCTTTTTTTATAACCTATCCATCACGTCTCAGGGGTTGGTTATATATCCCAATTAGTTAAGGAATACCCGTCGTTGACAACATCAGTGTGTTTGGTTTTTTTTTAACTAATATCAAATGACTGAGGTGAGTAGATTAGAGTTAGAACATGTGAAAGTGATAATAGGCATAAATATAGTACTAGGAAATAAAAGCATCCCCTGTGGAAGGGTAGTAATAAATGACGGGTGTGAGGAACTGATTGATTCATGACGGTAGGTTACACCCGAAAAGTGTAACGTGATGTGTTGTTCACGAACCGATGGAGAGTGGAGCGAACCTGGGTAAGATTACTGGCTGTACTTGACTCCCCTTTGTGAATGAAGTCTCGGCTATTATAGGCGAAGAAGAGGTTATAGAAAAGAATCTTTTTTCTCTGCAATCAGTAATTTGAAAATTTTATCGTGCACATTTCGATATCCACTACTACTACTATACTACTACTACTACTTCGTTTGAAGACGTTTAGCTTCAGAGCGTTCTCATTCCACTTCTGACTTTTCATGAACTCAAATAGTAAGTACATGTCTTAGTTATGCAGTGAGTGTAGAGATAAATGTTGGATTCGTGAGTCTACAAACCAATCATTTGTCATTTGTTAACTTTCAACATTGATTTCAATTTACTCATTATTGGAGTTCTTCAAATCTTTTGACTCTTGAATCACATCATTCCTAATATTATTTTACAGACTGTTGCACTAAGAACAACAGAGAGAAATATTAGTTCAATGTATATTGTGTGTCGAAGAATACGAGATTTATTATTAGACAATGGTAAGTTGAATCCCTATGGTTATCACTATTATTTATAAATTTATAAACATTACTATTACTAGATATTTAGTGTTTATTATTTCTACTTGGTGATATGAAAAAGGACCTAAAGATCTGACTGGATGACGATTATTTTTACCAAGAAATTATTTTCAGTTTCACTTGTCGTCATCATGATGATGATGGCCAGGTAATCAGAGGGTATATTTGCACGTGGAATGTGATCGCAGATTCTAAATCGAAACTCGGAATATATCGAGAAAGGAATATCCTTTCTTCAAACGGACTCATAATTCATGATATAGAAATATTTTGAAATTCTAAACCACAAGATGTCCTGTTTCAATAATGTTCTTATAGAAAGGCGTGAATTACACTGTACTTTTATAATTTTCTCTTCATCTTAAGTCATCGATCAATAATGCTGAAACCATAATGTGTGTTATACCAAAATATTTTTTGTCTGAAGTCAGCTTTTAGAGACCGAATCTACTCACAATTTATCTGTCTGTCTGATGTGCCCACATTCGATCTTGTCAGTCTGTAGTCAGACAAAACAAATCACATGTAAAATGATGGACGTCAACCAATCAGAATCCAGCACGTAATGAAGGCCTGATATTCAACCCTTTGATTGGATCAATAAGTATCACATTTTTCTGTAACCATAGCCGCTCTTAGCTCTCACATGTTTGGAAATTCGCGCCCCCTACCTTGTTGACCTTCTGGATTTCACAGGTTCGAGTCAGGGTATAATTTATCAGGAAATTGTCCAGTGTTCACTATCTTAAATCAGCATTCGTATGTCTACTCGACGACGTCATAACAGAGACGTATAGAAAGTTATTGAGAGTTGTCACCAGAAGGTTTCGTAGTTTACAGTCACACTAGGGCTGTTTTTTACTGGGTGGGACGACTAGCCGCACCTCCAAGCTTCCATTCCTTACTAGGCCTGAAATGAGGCCCCGGAAGCTTAACAAGAGATTGCAGATTCGTGGGTGAAAAGGAGGCAAATGCCTCAGGATTGAAAATTTGTGTGACAGTTCGTGAGAATCACGAAATCAGAGTTATCACGGTTATTATTAATAAGACCAAGCAAAGATAGTAAAAATGAGCGATTACTATGGACGTTATTAATCCCGACCGATAGCTGCTACCTTGGCGTGGTGGTCGGGCTTGCACATCGCGATGGTCCAACAAATTACACTGGCTGGAACCAATGTTCCTTCAGGTTGTTAGGATAGCCATTAGGCTAAAAGCAGTGTCAGAAAGATTCTTACACTATGCTGGGGATCTGTGGGCGAAGTCGTACAGCTGGGGAACAGTGGTGTGACAGCAGTGAGATGTTCCATTCACATGACTAGCATGCCAGTCAGTTAAGTTGTCTCTCCACTCTGGACAGACAGGGCTAGAAAAAATCGAGTCAAACAATTCTACATCCCGACTGACCCTACGGTGGTCCGTAACCGGCGGTGAGTTTACTAATACGGAATAAATCCCAGAAACCAATTCATACAAGCCTTCTGTGACCAGTCTCAAGCAGTTGTCCCCTGGGCTCTGCAGTCACGCAACACTCTTTCTGTTTCAGGTTCCCGAAGAATCAATCAACTTCCACAGTGTGGGCAGCCGGGAAGTAACAACCGCCTACACACTTCCAAAAGCACACGAAGCCTTCCTGAGCATCACTCTTCCTTACTCACATCACCTTCCTCATCCTGCTTCTCTACTACAGTTAGCACTATTCTGCAGGCTAGCGAGCCATCTTCACTCCACTCTGTGTCCACAAACAAAGGTGAGAGCCATAGAAACACCCCAGATAGCCTTTTCAGAGCCACGTCGCCTACTTCATATAGGAGCTTTTAACGTCAGGACCCTCTGCCATATCGGACAAAATGCATAACTAGCAAGAATTCTGGAATCTAGAGCCATGGATGTATGTTGTGTTTCGGAGACACGCATACAGGACCCGAGTGTGGTCATTCATTTAACCTCATTCGGTCAACAAGATGAATCTGAAAAATTGACACAGAGGGTGTCAGGAGACCCAATAGCTAGCTCGCGAGGACTCGCAGGTGTAGGGATAGCACTGAGTGTTAGGGCGGAAAAATCACTTCTTGACTGGATCCCGGTAAATAGCCGTATGTATGTGGTCTGTCTAAACGGGACCGTTAGAAGAAAGAAGGACGGCGTTACCCGTCGTTTCCTTTTCGTAGTCTCCGCTTACGCCCCAACAGACTGCAGTTCAGACGAACTAAAAGATGATTTCTACCTGAAACTGTCTAATTTGCTGCTAAAAGCAAAACGTTCATATATAGTTGTTTCAGCAGGCGACTTCAATGACCAAGTAGGGAAGTTTTGCCAGACTGAGAAGTATGTAGGTGGTACATATAGCGTTCCCTGCTGACGAACCGACAACGGTGATCGTCTTCTACAGTTTTGCTCAGATAATCATCTGTTCCTAGTCAGCACTAACTTTAGGCACAAAGAGAGACACTGCGTAACCTGGCCACCTCCATCACCAAATCAACGCTGGACTCCGATAGACCAGACCACATGGCGATAGGGTATGGTTGGCGAGGGTCGGCAGAAGACTGCCGCTCCTTCTGGAACACGTGTGTAGACTTTGGTCACCCTCTGATTCGCGCACGTTTATGCTTACGACTAGACGGACATAAAAATTTGTTGGCAGCGAAACAGTTACGTCCCCAACTAGATCGAGACCCTGAGCCCCTATTTAAGCAGGAAATAGCGAAACGTCTTATCTGAGGTCGACAGCAGGACTCCTCCTGAGGTAGCCTCGCACAACATACAGTTAGCTGTAGACACAGCTGTAAAAGCTGTTGATAAGATAAAACCAGAAGTTAGTAAGAGCTATTGGATCTCTACCGCCTCATCCGAACTGATTGACGCAAGAAGACTGATTCCGGCGAGCTCCGATTATGATGAGGAGCGAAAGCTACTCAAACGAAAACCAACAAGAAGTCTTCGAAACGACCGTGAACAGTGGTGAGCGATAAGAGCGAGAGAGCTGGAAAAGGCATCGGCGATTGGTAACACCAGACAACTATTTAGGCTTATCAAGGAAACAGGTGGTAAAAGGCAAATGATAAGTGAAACAATCTCTAAGGGAAATGGCACCATAATCAGCACCCAGGATAGACAACTGGAACGCCGGAAAGAACACTTTGAGGAGCAATTCAATTGGCCTACAGCCACGCTCAACTTACCGAACATCCAACACCTCCCTGAATGGGATATAGACACAGGTCCAGTGTCCCTAACTGAGGTTACTAAGGCTGTCACTAGTCTGAAACAAGGCAAAGCAGAAGGACTTGATGGAATAACTCCATACGTATTTAAGTACTGTGGAGACAGTTTACTGCCTGCATTAACTGCGATTCTAGGCAGCACCTGGGAATCAGAGGAAGTCCCATCGTGTTGGTGTAATTCACTGATTATACCCATATACAACAAGGGAGACAAGTCTTTCTTTAGTAATCACAGGGCGACGTGCTTGACTAATTTAGTATCCAAAGTCCTAGGCTAAATAATATTGCGTAGACTAAGTGGTTTTCGGGAGAGAAACAGGCAAACTTTAGACTAGTAGGAGGGTGTATTGATCATATCTACACCCTTCGACAGATTCTGGAACACAGGTGGCATTCTTACTGGTGTCAAATAATGGTTATATTTCTTGACCTAAAGGCGGAATTCCATTCTGTCGACCGAGAGGTTCTTAGGCGATGCCTGAGTGTAAAGAGAATTCGGAGGAAACACATTGGCTAGGGGTCGCGCTATTTCGTCAATTGGCAGAAGTTAGAATTCATGGGCCATTGGGTCGGGTCCCAGAGGCGTAATGGTATACGAGCTCGCTAGCCTTGTAACCAGAAGGTCCCGGGTTCGAGTCCTGGTGGGTGCGTACTGTGAAGAGTCACAAACTAGGACGAAACAGCTGTCCAGTACTCCCAGGTTTTCCAATGGTTCTCCAACTAATGGCAGCTCATGATGAAATCCTGAAAATATATTGCACTGATCATGGCACTCACTCTACTCGAACTCATGCAGTCAGTCAGGTGAGGGCATACGGCCGGTTGTCATCTGAAGTGGTGACAGCTAGTGGTGTCCGTCAAGGATGCCCACTATCCCCATTTCCATCCAGAGTCTTATGAACACCTTGAGTACCAAACTCCGAATGTTTGGCATGCGATTCGCTCCCACTAAATGTAAGATGATGAGGCCAAAGGACTGGACTACACTGACTCCTAGTTTAGAAATAGGGAGTGAAGTGATAGAGCACGTTGACCGCTTCACTTACTTGGGAAGTACCATCAGCCAGTGCCAACGGGTTGATCTCTGACGAAATCTCAGCACGGATACAGAGGGCTCGTTTCGCATATGCCAGTTTACGCCGTCTCTGGCTTAGTAGACGAGATATCCGGCTGGCAATCCACCAAAAGACGGGTGTAATGCTCATCAGTCCTCTCCGTCCTCCTTTATGCCTGACTGGCTGTGAGACCTGGCCATTGAGAGTAGAAGACATGAAAAGATTAGCTGTCTTTGATCATAGGGACCTGTGCTCCATCTCCCGTGTGAAATGGTATAATAGGATGGACAATATTAAGGTTAGGCATTGGTCGAGTCCCAGGTTAGGAGGAAGGGGAAATCAATCGACGAGGCTGTCAAATTACATCGACTGAGATGGTTAGGACATGAGTTACGTAGACTTCCTGGTTGATGCCCGCGGGATGGTGAAAACCAATGGTTAGAAACAATTGGTGACATGGCTCGAAATCGTTCTCAATGGCTGGTGCAGATGCATCCACTCCTTGTACCTTATGATTTCAAATGAAACTATATCTTGCTTTGTGTGCTCCATGGAGTGTGGCGACTTGAACAGCTGCACGTTGGTTCTATGTCGAACACAGACAGGCAGACATTATTAATCAATGTCAGTTCGAATGATGACTGGAAGCTCGTGAATCCAAGCTAATTACGGGTCATTTATTATGGGTCTTCACAGACTTTTTCATGAATTCTGATAAGAAGTCATCCAGAAGTAATGTTTTTCTTGTTTATTTGATTTCATTAATTAAATCTGAACTATCAAGTCGTGACCTACCTCCAACGATTTTCGGTATGACGGACCCCGTCTACATACTGATTAAAATATGACAGTTGTCTATAAATGATAATGCTGCCATGTAAATAAAGGACAGGCGTCGGAAATTCTAGGTAGGATCCTCGAAAAGACTAAAGACAAGGTGACATTCAAAGTAGAGACAAATTTTATAGGTTCAGAGACCCAATAGATCGAATTAGGAAGAATAATGTAGTTTGCGAAATACCAGGCAATAACTGAGAAATGAATTCTATACATGAGACTAGGAGGACGGTGTTAGTTATGTATTATCGGAGAATCTCATTTCTTGTACATCTGATCAGCTAACGTCGTCAGCTAACCTGAAATACGGTGTGGACGTTGTCTGTACCTCAGCCTAATTTTGCTTTCGTGGTAAGAACAATTATTGGTCAACTGGCTTCCCGGACTCTTTCACACACTGTTGCATCCGTCGTGGGATTGTCGCGTCTTCCTGATTTCGGGAAACAATAAGTTTATTTTTCCTGTGTTTCGGATTTCTCCTGAGGAGATTGGGGGCGGGTGTCTTTCATGACGATTGTTTCTTCATTTACGGGTTTAGGACTGGTCAGTAAATTAGGTGAGATTTGAAACAAATAATTAGTATATGCATCAAAGGCCGAATTATTTCGAAACTCGTATCATTTTATAGGCATGATTAGTCAGAATTGTTTACTTACTCATACTGATTGTATATTGTACATTGAAATCTTTATTTATTTATTTATTTGTTCTTTACACTACAGGAAAAGCAATCGACAATAGTATTTATGCTTCGAAATCTTTAAATTCAATGAGCTATCAACTACATTCAGATAAATTATGGCTGAATGATATTTTCAAGTCGAACAATCAATACAAAGAGGTAGAAAGATTTTCAAATAGGTGAGTCAGTCAGATCTTGTAGGCATATTTGCCAATTACATGTTTCACAAGTCCATTAAATAATCCAGAAAATATTATGACTACGTTTTACTGACTCATCATGATATTATTCAGTTGAAATGAAAAGAAGCACGATGACAACTAGATCTCACAACAATAGTGAAGTGTATTCATTTTTGAGTAGATTTTACTATTATTATCATCATCATCATTTTTATTATTACAAGTAGTAGTCATCCTTCGTTGCTTTGCGTACCCGGTGGAACATAGGGCTTGCTTCAGGCTAGAGCATTGAAGTTTCATTAGGAGTGGTTTTATTTCTACGGGATGGTGGTTGCTCGCCTCACTCCTAACCCTCCCTCTTTACAGGGGTTTCTACAAGCTGAGTGAGTTGAAGGAGTGCATCAGCCGTGTACGAAACCCGTGCCGCTTACTAGATTGGTCAGCCTCCTACTTCTGAACCACTGACGTACCACGGTGGCTCAATGGTCTTCTAGCATGACTATCAACTGGAAATTCGCGAATCCGAACCCCGGCGCCTCCATATTCATCAACAATCCACAAAAAAACCACGAAACAACCATTTGAGGACGGAAATTTAACGAGATGTATGTAGGGAGAGAGAATGCAGAAACTGCAGAATATGATTGATTCCATGTTTGATTAGCTGATTTGATATCACAGAATGTGATACAGTGCTAATGGCTGAATGGTGTCTCGAGAAGACTTTATCGCCTATCATCATATCAGTGAGTTAACAAGACTTCACAACTTGCTCTGTGAAACCTAACTCCCGTTTTTATTTATAATTTTCCGGACACCTATACTTTCAAAACATCCTCTGTAATGAACAACGCTGAGGCTAGTCAGTGAACATTTTTCTCTATAAAACATTTCCTTTCATGTAAAACTGTGTGTGTAGAAAGGCTTCGTTTTCACTGACGATGAATTCAGTATGACTGGAGTGACTGGCTAGTGAAAAGTGCAGAGGCGAACATTAATTGATACTATGAATTGTCTTCACAGTGGATCTATGCCTTGATGAGAGCACGTAAAATAACCTTGGAATGACAGACAGGTATAAATGTCATAGGTGATGACTGAAGTTGGCCCGTTGATTTAAGCCATGGCAAGTTATAAATCAGCGTACTGCAGATCACTAAGATGGCTGTTGTTATTTCGCAGTGTGTGCGTGTATGCCTGTTTCTATGTATGTTTGTGTGTTTGAATGTGCGCCATGAGATAATAAGGAGAAATTAAATCAATCAAACCATGGCAAGATATAAATCAGCGTACTCCAGATAACTAAGAAAGCATTTCTAAATTGGCGATGACACGTACGAATCAAACATCATTAGTTTTAGCGTAACCAAAGTAATTCAATGTTGATTCTACGCATGAAACGTTGATCTTATTCTCAGTGGGATTTTCTGCCCAATGGATCATCATAATCATCATAATCTCCAGGGTAATAATCCCACAGCCATCGCTTCCGATTTCCCCATCGCCGTCAATGGAATCATTTAGACATAAATCACACGACACAATCCAATAATCTATCGCTCTTGTTTTTTGATGAAAAAATTGAATTATGTAGTCATTTGAACACTAAGCACTAACCAGCTATTGTAATCAGGAGTCAAGTGAGAGGCGGGATAATTGAGTTTCGGTGTATTCGGTATGCTGGTCAGCTACTGATGTGTTGTAGATTATCAATGAGTTGGTATTCAGACGAGACTACTTGTTGGCATTTGAATGTTCGAGTGACATACCAGATAGCATTGGTGCCCAAAACTCAAAGGAAGTAATCAACTGTATGTGATGCAGTGAGTGCTAACTAATGAGACACAAGTATCTAATATGAGTGTTATGACTGACGTTGTGCATAATGTTCTTAAACATTTTGAAGTGCTCAGACAGACGTTGTGACTGTTAGGAAACGGAGCTGGGATGTGTTTCATTGCATTTGTTTTTGTCAATGTACACATAATGATATATGTGCAATTGTTTGTTTCTATGAATGTGAAAAACGTAATTTAGAGGGAGAATGACTTTCGATGATACAGAGGGTTGTACAACAATCAATCAAGAAGAGGGGAATAAAGAGAACATGACGTTGATTGCTCCACCGTTATCATCATATTCAACACCAGCAACAACATCGATGAAGCCAATTGTTAATACTATTACAATAATCCATTCGGTGGAGGAATGAATTCCTGTCGTCATCATCATCATCATGAGAAGGATGGTCTGCGTTTAATGAGCTATGAATCCAATGCAGAATGGCAATTGAAATCTGACAGTATTGTAACCGATAACAATAGAATATGGAAAGGATATGACGATTTCAATCGAAGCCTCAATATACAAGCAAATGAAACGTATGTCTTCTAGTTGCAGTGTATTTTGAAAACAAGTTATTTTTACTTTCAGTTTGTTAGTTTGTATATTTATGCTTCATAGTAAATTACCGGATATACATATATATTGAGCATTGATGCTCAGTCATTTGACTGTGAGAGTTTAGTGACTTTTATGGGGTTTTGACAGACCGAGTATTACAGATGTTTCTGAAGTAACTGTGTGGTGTGTAGGGATTTGATTTGTGTCAAGGTAGATTACTATACGGGCTGACAGGATTTAGAGAACCACTGAAAATCAGGGAGCACCAGACACTGGTCACGACTTCTCACTGAAACTCCAGGAAGTACATCCTGTGGCCAGTAGTCACTAGAAAATTATTCCACTAGTGATTTGTGACTTTGAGATGGTCTTCGTGGAGTTCCAATTAGAAGTTGTGGTTCGTGGAATAGATACTCGTGAGTGGTATGGAAGCTAATTCGTGGTTGGAGAGAAGTTAGAATTCACGGATCATTGGAGTACAGCCGGATGGCTGGATAGCCAATGGGCTGACATCGTAAGCTGTTTTGCTCATGGTTGCACGGAAGCCAGCAGGGACAAACAAAATCTATCCAATGCTCTCTGTCCATCTCATCCATATATATATATATATATATGCATATGAAGTATACTTGATTTCCTCAATAACTGGGGAATTCACCTGTAGTTATCTATAGTCACCAGTGTCTGTTTGTCCGCGAATATGACACAGTGAACCCCGAAACCAATGACACCTCATAAGACCACTGAAAACCCGACCCGGGATAAATTGTTGGATTTGTGAAATTTCGATTTCTAGTTGATGTGGCTGTCACGAGATTGATGAGTGAATATCGAGACGTTTTTTCATTGTACTGTGGTGACTGGATTTTAGTGGGAAATCTTAACATAGGTGATGACTTTTGAGATACACGTAAGTAATTTTGAGGATAAATACTCTTCAACGACATTAGTTTGAATTGAGTCGTATCTCGAATTTACGGTAGTTGGGATTCACACCTAATGGGATGGAGGTCGGTAACTGGATTCTAATGCAATTCTCTCATGGTCTGAAGGTCTTAGGATGGACTCTGATTGGAGTCACAAAAGGAGGAAGAAACAACTGAGTGTCGGTCTTCAGTTGTCAGGGGAACACTAACTAAAATCAGTCCGAATCCCTAGAAATGCAAAAGTGAAGACTATTTTGTGTTTATTTACCTTGCAATGTATGCATATTCGTGAATTACAAGATATTGATTCATTAATGCAGTATCTTAAATCATTCATTCAGATGACACAAATGAACTCTTATTTTATATGACATTCGTTGTTCATGTTTTGAAGCTACGCTAAGCATGAGAAATTTCTGTCTGATTTCTTTGAAAAATATTCATTCACATTTAGTTATACAAAGATGGATGACAAGCCTTCTTCACAAACAAGAAGCATTTTGACAAATCGTAACATTCAAAACAACAGTTAGAATATTCCAGGAAGAATGTTAAAATTCTTCAATTATGAATAATAAAAAAACGGTAAGGTGTGCATTCTATTAATAATAATAATAATAATAATAATAATAATAATAATAATAATGACAATAATTCATTTCATAGCCTAAAAGCAGTTTCCAAAATGTGCTCTCGCTTTAATTTCGCAACTTGAATAAAACATAATCCAATAAGTTTACCTGAGATGCATAATGATGCATAATGGGCAGAGAGAGAGAGACAAATAAAATAAGAGAGAGGATGGATGATACACTGTTAACACTTATTGTTAGAAGAAAGACTGAGTTGGAGACTTTCATGCTGTGGGACATATTTATTGCCTTGACGGACAATCCTAGTATCGTTTCTCATGGAAACGTCAATTTAGACTAAATTATATTAGGCATTGTGATGTTTATCATTTCTGAATAATTAATGTACGCATAACTTGTAATTCACAGTTCAAACACTTGATGATACTTAGTTTCTATTTAACTTTATTCCTTTGCGTTAAGAGTGGAAGATGGGAGTATAAGCTTGGATTTCCAAGTGGTTCAGTGGGAGTGGTTTATTGTTTTAACGGGGCGAGATGGTTGCTAGCTTCGAACGGAACCTGCCTTGTTCTTCCGGCTTATTAGCGGGTGAGAGAGAGGTTCAGGAGTGGGCAACTGTGGATCGATCGCTGGACCAGCTATTAGTCATTTAAACATGAGTAAAGAATTCTGATTAAGAGACAATTATTTTCAATGCAACTGAATGATAATGCGACATACAGTCGTTGTGACACGTTGTGATACGTGAGAATAGGGAAAGGATATAATGGAGATATATATGATAACGCGCGCGAACACACACACACACAGACACAAGGAGAAATATTGATATATATTCAAATGTTTTCTTTCACTCACTGTATTTATTAATTCGTCAATGGAGATAATAATGGGATTAAACAAGAAACTGTATTGTTCTGTATTGGTTTGAATTTTACTTTATAGTTCAGAATTTGACAGAAAAGAGGATGAAAAAGCTAAAACGTAGACGTAATTATCGCCTAATTGTATTGCTTTTATACTTACACTACTATCATCGCCGTCGCCGCGATCACCACGACCAACATTACAACTAACAATAAAAATAATTGGAATAAAAAGATGAAAAATCTCTTTTCAATTCAACGTAATGTCCAATAACTGTTTATTTCCACTCTCCAGTGTTTAACTACTTTTTCGAGTGAGCGTCTTGTATGCATTCTTGTATGTGTGTAGTATTTATCCATGTTGCATTGATGTGTGCGTGTATGCCTCTTTCAATCTATGTTTGTTTGTGTGTGTGTGTGTGTGTGAATGTGAGCTATGAGATCATAAGGAGAAATTAAATCAATGTACTTTTTCATTAGCCTGTTTATCTACTCCACATTGCTGTATACACACTGTTTATTCATATTATAAGCAAGTATTGATTATTTTTAACGCTTAGTCATCATCTTCTATCTAACATGTCGATTTGAAAGTGTTAAAACGTTTACTTCCCACATTGTGTTCATGTACACTTTTGTTTCCAACGTCTAATCAAAAATAAATTGTTTGGTTTATGATAAAAATGTTGTTTTCTCAATTTTCAATCAGTTACTGTTTGTTCTGCCTCATTTTTGGCTGTTGGAGGCTATTGGAAACAAGCTGTGGAACTAGGATTTCCGCTTCTTGTTACTGGACATCATTTTCGACTGATATCTGACGGTCCGTGAAGATCTGATTTGTGTTAAACATCGCTCCTCCCAGTCACCTGCAGATGGTTACAAATTGGCTAACAACCTTCCTTCTATATAACCGTCCACCACTCTCAATTCGTCAGGGATCTGGTGCATTATGCCTCTGGTTAGTTGTCTCAGTGTCTATCCAGTCTATTTCTGTTTCATTCTGTATATTCATCAGCAATACGTTCATAGATGATACGATACGCTGCACTACCGAAGTTCCTTGTTGCTTATCATTTCCACTTGGCCATCTGATCCTAATTGTCGAGGGTGCATAGGGAACTGTCGATGTAGATTTGCATCGTTGTTTGTAGCACTGTGCAATTGTAGCTTTCCTTCCATATGAGTTGAATCTTTCTGTCATGGTTCAGGAGGTTGTTTCCACTGTATGAGAATTATGTATGCTGTTGTCCACAACACTGTTAGCCATACCCTAATGATGTATATGTGACTGTAGTCTGGATGACTTGAGTAGATTATTGACTCACCAGGTGTATAATTTGGGTGGTTGGAGGCTATTGGAAACAAGCTGTGGACCTAGGATATACGCTTATTGCTATCTACCCACATCTTGTTAAGTCTCAACAGCCACGTCAACGAGATCGATTCACGGTACGTACATTCTCTGTTCTTATGCTTACTTTTGCTTTCATCATCATTATCGGTGGACTGACTGGCTTCCTTGGTGTAGTTTCTAGCTGCACATCCAACCTGACCTCTCATTTGTTTCATGTGAATAACTGAGTAAAATGTCGGCTTCACTTAAATTGTTTTTGTTTCTATTTTCCGAATTCCCTGAATCACCTACCATCCAACCATCATTATCTTGACGGCGATTAGATGTCACAGATGAAAATGTAGCTATGGGGGAGTATATCCTGTCTTACACTGTGTATTCACTTGTTTCTTTCTTTATTTATTCAGTTGAATTGAGTAGGTGACTGTGTAATTTCTTTTCAAGTCATTTGAGCAGGAATCTGAGTGTACGACAGATGACTTGTGTATTTGCCCATCATGGTCTTTACAATCACACCAGTTTTTCCACCTATTTTGATAATTCGAGATGAAATCGTCAGTTGGTAGAGAGCGTTCCACGTTGGCCAATCCTTCAATCTATCTGTCTATCTGAGAGTCTCTCTATTTATTTATTTATTTCTTAGTCAAATGCCAATAAATAATTCGATAGAGTGAATGTCGTGGATCCGAATCCTGGCGGTTGGTGCGTACCACCACAGAGTGTCAAAGTAGGACGAGACAGCTGTCCAGTACTGCCATCTTCTCCAATGCTTCTGTAACCGACGTCAGTTGATGATGAAATCTTGTAACATGAGATGTGTTGGTTAAAGTATTCGAATTCATGGTGAAAAGTGAATGTGAATTCGATCTCATTGATAATACTTCGTCTTTGAATAACTTAGAAACACGCCTTATGCTACGAGAGAACAAATGACCATGTGAATAGAAGTAGGCTCAACTAAGTTGTTCGCACTATGTGTCTTCGTAGTTAAATAAGTAAATAAATAAATAAATAGATGAGAATGATTTCTAACGAAATCATGTTTACATTGTTCAGTATGTTGACTGGTC